AGAAAGTGATTTCGAACAGAGCACTCATTACTAAGTTATATTGCATTGTAGCCATATACTCTTCAAGGTAGAGCCAATTTTTGGAATAGGCTTTATTTTTCAATCATTTCACACGTATTTAGAATGTGCAACATTATGCATACCTCATTCTTCACATAATGAAGAGCTAAAAGCAATCTCATCTTTAGGATCGCGATGGTTTCAATATGAATTTAGGCAAATCAAATGTATTAGTTTTGATCGGGATAAGTTATGCCAAGTATATCTGCAGAAAGGTGAAACCAAAAACTATAGAATTATGGCTTTCATATCCACCAAGCTCACAAGCAATAGCAGTAAACAAAATGTGAAATTTAATAAATGATGGCAGAAAAGCAGCATAATAATTTTGAAAAATTAAAAAGATGACCTATTCGATAGGGTAACTTACGGACGGAGAAATGGACATAAAGCAAGAGTATGATGTAAATTGCAATAAGTGGTGAGTAGTCAATCAGGTAGCTGCGATCCCTGTAACGTACAAGAAATACGCGACTTGGTTCAGGATTTTCGGAGATAGAATTCTTGTAATGCGATAAAAGATTTTTGCGAAGAGCATCGATAAAACTACAAGTTAAAAAGCATTTTAAAGAAGATAAAAATATTAGAATAAGGCTAACAGGTAATCAGATTACTTTAAGTCAAACTCCCGAAACACCAGTGTAATTGCGAAAGAGATTATATATTGCTTGTCTTGTAACGATATTTTTGGTATCCCAGAAAGTTTCCAAGGCATTCCAAATAAAAGATCCCGGACTGCAGCCTCTTCGGATGAAGAAAAGGCCTTAAGTTTCGCAAAAAGATGTCCAGAATCAGCGTCAGAACGAAATTTAGAAATATCGTTGTTCCAAAGTAAACTAGGTGAGAGAAGAAGGCAATTGAATAAAGGAAGCACATCAGTGTCGAGAGAATAGTCGTTGAAGATATTGGCTCCAAAAGCTGGAAGTTTCCCGAAGGCTTTCCCAATATCAGTTAATCCTTCATTAAGTATGGATGATCCTGAAGCTGGAACGGAGCCCCGAGAATTCGGCATTTGCAAATAATCATCACTCGTCTCACCAAACCTAGCTACTCGGTCCTCTACCTAAGGGCCCAGGGGAATCAATTAGTGTGAACAGCATAATCGCAAACAATAAAAATATAAGATGGTCATACCTGGAAACAAATGTCATCAAAAGTTATTGAAGCATTGCTATCTAGATATTTAGGCACTCGAAATTCACGAATAGATCGGGTTAGATCAAAGCTTTTCTCCAGAAGACTTCGTAGGGCATACATAGCCTGATTTTCTCCTATTGAAGAGGCTAGCGTAGCCCTCAGCACAATTTGCTGTACATATCCAAGACATTTATTCTTGTCAGAGAAAGCCTAGAGAAAAAAAGGCAAAACATTATGAAGCAAAAATAAACGCTCGAAAAACATGGTTAAGTGAATTTAAATAGCATATCCCTCGGATACAATACGGTCCAAAAGTCTGATGCCACTTTCAAGAATTTTGTTTATTTAATCATTTATAAAAAAGCTAATCCACATTTTTACTTATTTATAATTTTTAAAAATAATAATGGTATTTGCATTCAATCTTCAGGGCCAAAGAATACCATATCCCAGTTAATAAAATAAGAATTAAAAAATGAGCGGCAAAATGAGGTCTTGATTGGAGAAAAGTAGTCTTCAGGCAATAGCAAAATTTTAATCTTGAAGATGGGAAGAAAGCCTAATTAACAGATGAATCAAAAGTTGAAGTTTACGACTATGATTGGGGATTTGATGTGAGATAGCCAAAGTGGAGACTAAAACAAGATAGCATAAAACCAATAGTTAAATACTGTGGTGGTGATATTTAAATGTTGGGATGTTTAGTCTAATCTAGAGTTAGTACTTTTGCACAAGATTGACCATACATTGACCAAAGATAAGTATGACTATTCTGCAGGGCATGCCATCCCCTCTGGCTTAAATATGGGACAGATTCATGTTTTGGCAAGACAATAATCCCAGAAACGCATCAAAGTTGTTCCAGACTTATTTGAAGTCGAAGGAAGAGCAATAAGCGCTGACTTGAATAGATTTGCCTCCACAACCGAAAGGCCGAA